GCCCTTCGTGAATTGACATGAAAGCTCCGCACCAAACTGGGCTTAAGGTTTAGGGTGGAGGGTAGTGGTACCCATAGTGATTCCCCTGAGGGTTGAGGCTTCCTTCAGTTCCCTGCGTGACCTCCAGAATCAGCTTCAGAGCCTCGTCGTTCCACCCGTCAGCCCTGTCGGCCGGTGTCTCTCCGTCCGGGTCTTTGGCATTGAGGTCGACACCGGCCTAAGCAGGGCGGTGCTGCACTGCCGGACAGAGTGGGAGACGAGAGAACAGCGGCCCGGCCTGGATCAAGACGCGTAGCGCCCCTAAGCACGGCCGATACCGATCAAAAGCGACTAGGTGGGCAGGTGTCCGTCCATGAATGTTCGGCTTCTGCAGGTCAGCTCCCGCCTCGTTCACTCAGAGTGGAAACCGCCATTTTTGCACTTTCAGGGGATTTAACGACCACATCGGGAAAAAGCCTCTACCACCCACGTGTCCTAACTTAAAGGAGTCCTAACCCCTTACGGTGGAGAGACGCACAACATATACGCGAATGCAAATAGATGCAAACCATTTGCATGTGGTTTGCAACCCACATGCAACTCACCTGTAAACTCAGTAAGTGTGCTAAGTATTTACGGATCTTGCAACGTGCTGTAAATGCTTGCAAATACATATAAATGCCGCAATCAATTATAATTGACTAGAATGAATATAAGTACTTATATTCATTTTTGACCATTTTGAGTAAGTTGTTTATCAGTATTTATAAGTATCTTGGACCTGAACCACACAAAAACTTAGCAAAACTTACCTTTGCGAGGTCGTTTTGTCATTTTCCTAATCTTGATACTTTTGAAAGGTTTTGTGCATAGTGCTACGCCTCAGCGGCTTCTGCCAGTTCAGATCATACTCTACTTATGCTTCCTTTGAGCATAAAGCGGCTCCTGCCGCTTCTGAATGCTGCACTTCAGCGGCTTCTGCCGCTTCAGATCATAGTGATAGGTGCTCCCTTTGAGTATACAGTGGCTCTTGCCGCTTCTGGCATCGTGTGGTGAGGGCACAATCTCCGATCATCCTGTGGGCATTGCTTTCACGCTCGTTCTGCATGCGCTTATAACTCCAGAAGCTGCGCACCCGTGACGTCTCTTGCTTGCGCCATGGCTGGCGCGGTTGCTTCCTTGCTGCACTCCGTGCGAGCCTGGGGAGTTCTTGCTCGGCATGCAGGGGACGCCGCCCCCTATTTCAGAATGAAATATTCTTCGCTGCAAGTCCAGCACATGCGCAATCAGACTTCTGCGTTCAACAGATTAGAAGGGTTTGGGTTGTGCCTTAAGCGCCTCCAAACCCTCAGCGGCGAAGCCTGCAGCTTGTAGCGCTGCTGAAGCACGTCCGGGTTGCATGACTCACTATAGCGGCTCTGGCCGCTTCGGCCTGCGGCGTGCCCAGCGGCTCTTGCCGCTGCGTTTGTTGTAGTCTTTGTTTTGCTCTCGTGTCTGCCGCGTCGGCCTCCGCCTTGTAGCTGCTACGGGCAAGTGGCCCCTCGGAGCCTCGATTAGCTCACGTCGCAGGGCCCCTGCGATAACCTGCGACTGGCTGCCTAGCCAGGTTACAGTATAATCCCTATAGAACTGGTCGCAGGGCAGTGCCCAGGGAGGGCCTTCAGGTGCGACGCCCTGCGACAACCTGCGACCCAGGTTCGACACACATTCCGCTCTAATGACTCTAATACGTGCTGACTCAGGGTCTGGATTTACGGTTTTGGGGCGCGCAGGTCTCTCCCGATCTCTGCAAAATTTGGCAACATCGCGGTTTATATTTGGGCTGTGCGGCTCCGAAGCACATTTTGTGCACGAGTGTCCTGCCCAGCCGTTTCCCTCTCTTTGTCGGTTAACCGTCATGGCCCTCGTGAGCCAGAAGGCGTGCGGCAAGTGCAAGTCTTCTTTGAAAGTCGTCACGCAGCAATCAGCCGGTGACATCTTGCTGCTGCTGGACGCATTCCGGCCTGAAGCTGCTCTGGACACAGGGATGTACAGGTGGAGCCGCGACAATCGAAGCATCAACGTGCGAATTGAACGGCAGTTGCGATTCCTGCTGCTGCCCCGCTATTGGCTGCGAGCTGCAGACAGCCTGCTCACGCTCGGCTGAGAAAAAAAACCGCGGCTTTCGCCGCTTCAAATCTGCACTTACTGCTGCGAAGTGCGTGCATCCAGCGGCTTCTGCTTCCTGGTGTGTTTGCTTGAAGCGGCTGTGGCCGCTCCTCGATGCCATGACCAAAACCATAACTTGCCCTGCACAAAAAAAATGCAGATACAAAGCAACAAAAAAACATGACTCAAGCGGTGCTTCACTCAAAACTGGAGAAAATCATGTGGCAGGCTACAAAATATACACAAATCCTGAAACAGCAACAAAACGAACAATACCTCTCATGCAAGAAACATGCTCAACATTATACGACAGAAAAACTTATCTTAAGTTATCAGTAACTTAGCAGAACTTGTCTAAGTTACTTATATTTGTTTGTAAGTAGTTCTTTTGCTTCCGAAAAAAGTTCGATAAGTAACATACAAACTCGCTATCTACTTATAAATTCGCTAAGTATTTATAAACATTTATAAACCGCCTATCATAATATAAGTTGTGCGTCTCTACACCGTAAGAGCTAAGAGGAAGACTCTTTTTTTAAAGAAACATTAAGAGCTTATAGGAAGACTCTTTTTTCAAAAGGACACCTTAAGAGCTTCTAGGGAGACTCTGCAAAGCCGCAGCCCTGGCCTCGGCCAGTGCCTTCAGCGCGTCTTCTTTACAATGCTGCGCTGCCACCATGGCCGGCGTCGCACCGTCGTAGTCGGTTGTGGCGTTGAGATTGGCACCTGCCTCGCAGGGTCGAGGGTTTAAGCTGTATAGGGATCTTTCGGACTAAAGCTGGGGGACAGAGGAGGCGTTGTAAGCGGAGCTCAGAGAGGCACCTCGTGCAGGAACTTCAGCGCCGCCGCGTGGCCGTAACTCGCGGCATAGTGCGCCGCCGTCCATCCTTTTTCCGTCGATGCGACTCCCAGGTTGGCATCCAAATCGGAGCCGGCCTTGGCACGGAGCTGCTCACTCTGCCTGACCTCGCCGACTGCATTACCTCATTTCGTGAGATTTAGCGAGGGCTTCCACACACAGCACGGCCGCGCGGGCGTCCCGACAGAATCGCCACTTGCCTGCTACTGCGAGAGCAATCGGGCCTGACGGTGAGCTGCGAGGGCCGCCACGTCGCCCTTGCTGGCAGCCTCTTTCAAAGAGATGGTCGTGGTCGTGGTCGCGGTCGTGGTCGTAGTAGGCGGCGCGCTCGCCTCCACGACGAGTTCCTCTGTGGCCTCGGCCTCCTCGTCCTGCCCGCTCATGGTGCTTTCGGCTCCAGGGGTGGTTCTGACCTTTAGGAGGCCTTCCTGCCGGCTGCGGGGAGGGCACACGATTCTGGTCGAAGAACAGTGCCATGAAGGCGCAACATATAGCGACATCAGCGGAAACCTTCTTGGTGCACTGCTTCAGAACATGAGGAGAGACCATGCTTCCGGCACGTTGCAGATTCGTGCTCAGGTGCGCTCTTTGGTCTCATCACGACTCGAGCAGGGCCAGCAGATGTGATGCGCGTTCTTCAGCTGCACTTCCGGCGAGGGCGGTCTGTTTGCTGGTGTTTGGGATTCGTCTATTGAGGCCTCATAAGTTTGGGAGAGTCGGTGGGACACAGACTGATGCGCTTGGAACACTCCCGCGCCTCCAGCAGCATCTGGAAGAGCTTTCTCGTTTGGGGGGCGAGCTGCGCCGCCGTTTTGGCGAGTTGCTCCTCCTGCTGCGCCTGCAAGGGAAGCCGCAAAATTTTGGGCGGCCAGCCACTGGCCCTCACAGAGCCTCGAGGCCTAAGGTAGAAGCCTTAATAATTAGAATAGGGTTTGGGGGCATAATAGGGAACCCCCCAAAATAGTAGAGGTAAGTAATTAGGCCCCCTATATTATCGACTTTCTAGACTCTAGACGTGCAGCCAGTGCCAAGCTGGCCAAGTGGCTGGGCTTAAAAGCTGCATATGCCGTCTACTGCCGTATCTAATGCGGTGGCGAGCTGGGTTCTTGTTAAGGGGTCTAATTTAAGTTACCATAATAAAGAAACCAAATTATCTGCGAAAGATCCCTGTTCTGGTAACTTAAATTAACTTCCTTAACAAGAACCCAGAAAACTGCATGTGCCGTCGACGCACTGCCGATCTAATGCAGTGACAGTGGGGAGACTTGCTGCTGCTTTTGTGATCGGACTTGCAGGGGCTAAACCCCTTCGGGCCTGGAGCGAAGCCATGGAAGTCAGCGACTTCTCAATCTCGGCGAGTCGATCCTTCCGCCGGGCCTGGTGCAGCTCTGGCTCTACAGTGACAGATGCTTACAAGGCGAAACCCTTGAATGCTCAGTGCCGCGGCCGTGGCCGAGTTCACGGGCGTATAGACCTGGGAGCACGTAAGGTGGAGGGAATGTGCAGAAGGGAGGGTCGGGAAAGGTGTTAAAGATTGGCTTGGGGAGCGAACTCTGTGCCTGCGCAGCTCAACTTCCCAGACCAAATCCCAGACACCTCGAGCCTTGTTGAACTATGTCGCTGCCACTTTGGGGCTCCCGGCATTATGCCGCTTCCAACCGTTTCTGCCAGAACGGTAGTGAGGACCCCAGCGGCTCTCTAAAGTTCAATCCTAAATCCCAGATCCTAGCAGTTAAGCACTGTCAGCGCCAGAGAAAGGAACCCGTGCCCGTGCACAAAGCACTTGAAGCCCAGTGCCGAGAACCGAGCTCGGCTGCCATCCGCAAAGGCCAGTGCGGCCAGCAAAAACAGCCCGGCCACCTTGGGTTTAGGGTTTACATCATTGCCAGATGTTGTGGCGTTTGCGGCCCGGTATCATCGTTAGCTTCGTCATTCGGTTGCAGGGGTCGCGTGTCGGTTTATGCTGGTCGGCCCTGGAACGGCCGTAGAACCAGTGTAGGAGCTCCGCAGAACCCTGACATCAAGAGCATGCATGCACACCCCACGGATGGTCGGAGCCTCAACAGAACAGGTCAAAAGCCGGCGAGAGAAGTCCGAGAAGACCTAATAACCCTAAACCACATGTCGTTATAGACATACTTCTCTTTAACCCAGGGTTTCAGAAGGTGCTCCTGAAGAATCAACCAATCAAGAAAAGATCACGGCCGCTAGCCGCTCCCGCCGCGAACCGAATCTCAGCCCGCAGCATGCATTGCGCAGGTCAGGCTTGGAGTTGATAGACAAAGCTGCAAGTTGCACCAAGAGACTTCGAGCCCAAAGCTGTTCGGGAGCAGTGGGTGCACATGATCTACTGTAAACCCTAAACCCTACAACCCGAAACCCTAAACCCTACTGTAAACCCCAAACCCAAAACACAAAACCCTAAACCCTACTGTAAACCCTATCATATGTTAGTCTGAACTTTAATAACCTTCGTGGTTCAAGGCCAACAATTCGTGGCTCAAGGCCAGTAATTCGTGGTTCAAGGCAAATTCGGAAATTTTGCCTTGAACCACGAATTATTGGCCTTGAACCACGAATTATTGGCCTTGCTTCGTGGTTCCAGGCAGGGTTTGCCTTTCATCACGAAGCTTGGCAGGCCAATAATTCGTGGTTCAAGGCCAATAATTCGTGGCTGAAGGCAAATTCGCCGATTGGCCCTTCGTGTTTTAAGGCAACTTTGCCTTAAACCACGAACGATTTGCCTTGAACCACGAAGTATTTGCCTTGAACCACGAAGGATTTGCCTTGAACCACGAACGATTTGCC